GATAGGTGAAGGAAAGTGGGAGAAGGAGGATTGAGGCCGGGATAGGGGAAGGGAGGTGATCAGGAGAAAAACGCTGAAGGGAAAGAAAATTGGTACAGGAGAGGGAAATGGGAAAAGGGGAATGGGGAAGGGGATGGAAAATTGAAGACAGAATGGAAGGTAGAAAGAGACGGAAAGGGGGAGAGATCGAATTAGAAAGGTGGAAAAAAGGGGGAGTGGAAACTGGAATGAAAATAAAATGAAAAAATGGAAGAGGAATGAAAAGGAAAGCATAATGAGGAGCTAGAGAAGAAGGAAAGGTGAATCAATGCGAAGGAAAGGCGGAGAAGGATAGAAAGGGGGATCGGTCGAGATTGGAGATCGAGGTGAAGGAAGAAAGAAAGACGTGGAATTGGGGAAGGGTGGATGGGGCAGCTAGGATATGCATGGGGGGGGGGGAAGCCGCAAGAAAGTGTCGTAATCTTTAACCTGACCCTGAAATATTTAAGAAAATCAAGCATACATTTTGATGTGAAAATAGTTGAAATTACAATGGTAGGTAATCTTTTTAATAAATCTAAACACATTTAATTGAATAAATATTTATTGAAAAGTCTACAGCCCTTGTGAATATTAGTCAAAATGAACATTGTCCAAACGAACGTTAGTTTTATCAATCAGTAAGACCAGTAGTCCTATTGATATGACATCTTTTTTCATTAAATCAATGAATAACGAAGTACGGGAATTAAATATTTGTAAAAATCTTGCGCGGTATTTGAGAATTCTGCGCACTGCAGCTGATGTGCGTCTAAAGAAATGTTTTAAGCTAAAGCAATGGAGTACAACATTTATTTTATTTGAATGCCGTATTATGAAGCCATACTTAGCAAACTGATTTTTATTTTTAATGGCATCCCATCGTTGCTTGTAAAATGTTGTTCAACGGATTTAATTAAAAAACGAGTAACTTTATGACAAAGACAATTTTCATGAAATTTAACTCAAAATTCAGAACATTATCTGTAAAATATTAACACTTAGAAATGGTAATTTTCAATATAACGAATTTATATTTTAATGTGAGAAATTGAGAAGAAATTAGTATATTTCGATTCTTTTTTTCAGAAAAATGGACGCTAATCAGCTCGCCAATCTGTCTCCTCAGCAGAAGGAAGAAATTATGCAAACTGTTCAGGCTCAGGTTGCTCTGGCCAACATGCAGGTATCATCGCATTAAAGTCATTCTGGGATATCTTAATTCTAGCATATATATTTTTTACATATAGGATGGTAGATTACATTGGTCTTGCAGTTCTCCCCCCCCCCACACACATTCAAAGTTCTCCATTGTCCACTCCTCATTGATGAATATTCTTCAAGGCACATGTTCAGCGGATTATTGAGGGTATACATTAAGAAAGGTAAAAGCTGAACGCTGGGAAAGGAAGCCATTTATTTGGTAGGGTTTGGAATTAATTGGGGAATTGAAATCAAACTCTACCAAAACCCATAATTTGATAAACATTATCAATGGGGTTTTCATGGTCGAGGGGAGGGGGGGGGGTGTAAAAAATTGACGCCCCTGCCCAACGTTACTCTTGAAACCTTAATCTGAACAATTATGTGGTAAATATCGTGTTTTTGGGTTAAAAGTGTTTAATTCTGAATATTCCTATATGTTTCCTGCAGTATAAAAGTCACTTTCTTGAAAAACCACAATCGAAAGTATTCGTTTTAAAAGTAATAAAATACGATATATATAATTCACCTGATCAGACAAAACTTTTAATGGTACCGTTGTTAATCGTGCCATCTTTGCAGAGAGGGTCACTTAAGCTTACATTCCCTTTGAACATACTCATCGCGGGAAACTTCGGTCAAATCTGTAAACAATCATATTCCATCTGTTAAATATTTCAAAAATCCTTCTAATATCTAGATTGAGTCGCATGAGCCACTCATATTGTTTTTATGATTATTATCATGATAAATCAAAGATTTCCTAGAGAACGATTTTTGGACCCCCCCCCCCTCCTATCAATTTTGTACATAACCACTTATTTTTCAGCAAATTTATTATTATTTATTTTTTTATTATTTAGGGTTAGGTAAGGTTAAGACACTTTCTGGGCCAAGCGCTGCGGCTAGGACAGGCTAGGGTGCTGAGCGCTGCGGCCACGGGTTAGGTTAAGTTATGACACGGCCAAATGTCTTACATTTAAGATTTTCTTACATTTAACATACTACAAACATTGTTTGCCGGGAGAAGTTAAAAACGCTAGAAATCCTAAAATGTTTAACCAATGATATGCCGGAGACATTGTTTTAGTAAAAATAGTGATATAAATAGTTACTCAATGAATCTATAGACTCGCAGATATTCTCAATATACTCCTAATTGCGGTCTAGAGATTAAATCACCAAATAACCAAAAAATAAGATCCATGTACAATATTGATTGGATAAGTGGTGCATTTGGAATGTTTACGCGAAAGGCTATTTACGGTTATTACTGACTTGGAGAAATGAAATGATTTTCTAGGTTTTGAAGTATAAAAAGTGGAGAAAAACTTTCTTATAATGTCTAATAATTTATTTCAATCAAGTTTTGGAAATTAAATTATCAAGAAGTTAAAAGCCGTTTTAAAGATCTTGGATTATTAAAACCTGACAGAAGAAGTGTTTTGTCTTTTGTAAAGTAAAGCTACGTTGTCTTTGTCCCATTTTCTTGGGATTTGAACAGCACAAATAATTTAGCAAAAATCGATGCAGATGTAAAAGTAATTATTTGGTACTTTTTTCGGTTTAAACCTTGAGAAAGAAATTATAAAAACTACAATGAGCATTATCTCAAATATCTGAAAAGGGAATGAAAGCGTGATTATAAGTGAACTTCCATTTATACGAGTATTGATTTGAAAGTTTTCCCATCTTCAGAAACCCAAACCGCCAACGGAGGATAAGTATACACCCGGCCAGAACTTGAAGTCAGGTCCAGCCCGGCCTTCCCTAACAGGATTAAGCGGCATGTCCAATTTACAACGAAACCCTTTATACCATTGTTTGATCAAGTGTACACTAGCACGGAGTGTACGTAGTGTACACTACACTGTAACCTCGAGTCTCCCGGCACTCAATATTCAGTTTTACAAATAAGGGTATCATACCTCATCGTTGTCACGAGAAAGTTGTGGAGGGTACTGTTGGGAATTGGACTTGCCTTACTATAAATGGAATGTAACTTTAAATTACGCATACAGTCCCTTTAATTAAAATATCTGTTTGAAGGTACATGGACTCCTTCAATATCGTATCTAAAGCGTACACACAAAGACTGCAGAGGGAGAGAAGCAGGATGTAAACCGCATTAGCATTAGGAAATAAAACAGGAAGTTCGGTAATGATTGAATACAAGATTCTATATCGTGACGAAAAGTTTATATTTACAGGGAACTTATTTCTTTTCCACATTCTTAAAAATTTAATTTAAAATTTTAAAAATTAAATCATATTGTTCATAAATCTATGGCTATATCTAGGAATATAATACTGTTTTCTTATGTTTTATATTTTTGTTCAGGAGGATTCATTCAGAAACATGCAGACATTTCCCCTCGCTACTGTTTTCTTTAAATTATATGTATAGTCATGAACGCGCCCGACACAGGAGCATTTAGAATTTTTCAACCTTTTTCAGAAATAATAATGGCGGCGTTAGCAAAGGCTCCGTTGCGCTATGTCGTTTCTCCCAGAGATTCAATGAGTAGCATTCGGAGGTAAGTGGAAGATATTAATGCTTTTAATGTTTACTTCATGCAAGGTACGTAAAATAAAGGTAGGCAGGTAAACGGAAGATATTAATGCTTTTTATGTTTACTTCATGCAAGGTACGTAAAATAAAGGTAGGCAGGTAAACGGAAGATATAAATTCTTTTTATGTTTACTTTATGCAAGGTACGTAAAATAAAGGTAGGGAGGTAAACGGAAAATGTAAATAAATGCTCTGAATGTTTTTTTAAATAGGTATAAATTGTACAATTTTGTTAACATGTCAGACACATATTTACAATCTTTCTTTTCGACACATATTTACGATCTTACTTTTCGACATATATTTACAATCTTACTTTTCGACACATTTTTATAATCTTACTTTTCGACACATATTTATAATCTTACTTTTCGACACATATTTACAATCTTTCTTTTCGACACATATTTACAATCTTTCTTTTTTTATTTCCTATATTTGGTTTGATAAAATTAGTTCCTAGTAGTCTTATTGAGTTACAGTCAAATTTTTATACGAAACCTATCCCCCGGCCCATAAATTCAGCATACAAACCTTTGTCTTATGTTACTCTCTGTCAATTACTGTCCAAAACTTGTAGATCTATACCCTTTGTTATTCCAATAAAGGTAGTAGGTGGAGATACTTTTTTAATCTAAAAAATTACTACTTCTGGCCAAGAATGTAAGGCAAGGAAAGTTTATTGTGGTCGTGTATACTCTGCGTACATATTGAAACTAGTTCTCTTTGGGCGAAATTTGTAAACAAGAATAGATGCATCAGTGTTCGTTTAGTATCCGAGGAGGCTAAAAGTATAAATTTTGATAATTCACATAATAGTTTCCTATGACCAGAATATTTCATCGATTTTTTATGTGAAAGATGGGTCCCATTTCAGGCTTCGACATCCGTCTTATGTTTACATTACCGCCTAGAGACATTATACTGCAGTACAAAAGATGTGTACACTTCTGAAATAACTTTCCTTGCCTTACAATCCTTGCTTCTGGCGGTGGGTTAAAAAAGTAATTATTATATGTTCACCTTAAAGACGAGTAAGAAAATGTTGTATTTTGACTCTTTTCAGATAAATCAACGAGAACCCGGTAATTTTTTAAGACATTTTTAAAGCTTGAGTATGAGTAGTTTCAGATATTGTTCTATCAGTATGTATCATTGGTATATATACTTTCTTTACCCCCCCCTCCCCCTCCCCTTTTGGAATATAATTTTCTCCCAATGTTAGATTTTCGCGAAGTGCCAAATATTTTTCAATTTGTAAATTTTATTTTCCAATAAATGTTTTTAGGCATATGAGCAGTGTCCGACCTATTGAAAAACTTCTCATTGCCAACAGAGGAGAAATTGCCTGCAGGGTCATGAAAACTGCTAAAAAATTAGGTATCTTACGACATTTTTTTATATTTTAAAGCCAGATCCGGATCCGTAAAAATATGCGGATCCGGATCCAAGGAGTAAAATATCAACCAAAAATTGCAAAAAAGAAATTTCTTCCTATAACCCAAATCTGAATTTTTGGAAAAAGAGAGATTATATAAATTTCCTCATTTCGGAATAGTTCATCAAGTTTTAGGATAAAAATAAGCGAAAAAAATAAAACTAAAAAGTCAGTAAATCTTAAAAAAATGACCTGGATCCGGATTTGGATCCGGATCCATTTTTTTCCAGTGCGGATCCAGGATCCGGATCCGCATTAAAGTTAAATGGATCTGGATCCAAGGGGCAAAATATCAACCAAAAAGAATTATTGTTGGCATATATACTGATTTATTCCACTTAACAGTGTTTGATAATCCTTGACTCTGCAGGATTTGTCCCATTTTTGAGTTCCTGAAATTTAAAAATATTCTTTTTGAGGTCAGCATATCTCAAAAGTTCATATTCCATTCAGGTTTCTAATTTATCTTCACTTTTGTTTAAATTCTACTTTGATATTTTTATATTTTAGTTTCTCTCTCACCTTTTTATTATTGTCCTAACTTTGAATAAAAGTTAGCCTTTTATAATTCACAAAAACCAGTTTGTTATGTACAATATAAACAGTTTATCAACATATATATATATAAACAGTTTATCAACATATATATATGTAAACAGTTTATCAACACATGACAAAGTTTGTTTTTATAAGGTATCAAAACCGTGGCAGTTTACAGTGACAGTGACAGGCAAACAAGAAAATAGAGTATCATATTGAAATACTTAAGTATATACGAAAAAATTTGAATAAATTCTTATTTTTAGAGTTTGAATATTTTATATTTTCTTGTAAAGGAATTCAATGCACGTTGCTTTAGCGGATGAAGCAATAAGGTAAACAAATAATTTTTTTTCTTTTTTTCTCATTCTTCATATTTTTTGTCTTTTTTAGTCCTTTTTCTTTTCTCCCCTCCCCAATCATAAGATTGATTTTTTTTGTACTGGAAATTTATTATTTAATTTCAGTGAGATTATTTTTTAAAGAAAGAAAGCCAAAGTGTTCTGATACAGAATAGCTTTACATTCTCAAAAAAAAAAATAATTTGATCCATATTTTTCGGGCGTTAAGAATTTGTGCTCCTGTCCGGTTTTGACTCCAGGCCGATATCTGCACTATGGTGCGTGGTGCCCTGAAGGCAGTCTGGGGGTTCCACTTTCAGATTTAAACTTGATTGATTGATTTCGAAGCGTTAGATCTGAACAAATTGAAATCGATCAAAACAAATGTTTGGATAAAATCCTACCTCCTGTTATATTTTGACAACACTCACTTTCTAGGATTGGTCCAGCGGCCTCCCAGGAGAGCTATCTCAGGAAAGATATAATACTAAAGGTGGGTTGTAATAACAAAATGATGGACTAAAATAAGGGTTAAGTAAAGGTGTAAGTTCTGATTTTTAGATCTTAAAAAAACCCTGTGCAAAATACCATGATTCATTAATTTTTAACAAATTAATCTAAAAATGTAAGATAAAATTAGCGTTAAAGTTCTTTTTTGAGAATTTATTTTAAATTTCTTATTATATTATTATTTGCATCAATAGATTGATTGGTATTCTATACAAAATAATCTAGACATGCTTAAAAAAAAATTTTTTTGATGCTGTAATTTATTTAATCTCCTGTTCAACGAAATAACCAACCTTTAATTCCCTCCTTTTTTATTTCCAGGGAGGATAATTACTTATCGTCAGGTTTAGAACCCCAAAAAGGTCTTGGAGGCCCTCGGCTAAGTGGTTTTCCCCTCAATTTAATTATCCTCCCTTAATCTCCCGGTTAAGTAGAAATTAATAGTTATAGTTTTGACGGTTATGGACACTATTTTTTTATTTGTACATGAATATGTTCAATTGTTGTTTAGGTCGCCCAGGAAACAGGTTCAGACGCAATACATCCAGGATATGGATTTCTTTCCGAGAATGTTGAGTTTGCCGATATGTGTCAAAACTCAGGTAATTATTTAGAAATTCGGCCAACAAGGGTGGTCAATGTCAAGCCTAAGCAACCAACCTTAAAAGGACTGGTAGCGTAAATTCAAGTGACCCTCCGACCTCTAGGCAAAGATGCAATGCCCGATTCACAGCAGTACCTTCTTTGGGTTAACATGACTTTAACTGAAGGGTCACATGCAACTACCTAAACGATCTCTTAATTCTAAGAAATTTGAAGCAGTTTTTTAAAATTATTTATTTTGAATTGTTAACTAAAATGAATTGTTCTGATTTATCAGGAGTTATATTTGTCGGACCACCCTCAACAGCCATCAGAGATATGGGGATAAAATCCACCTCAAAGGTAAATATTAATATTTTCAGGAAAACATATTTAAAATTAATAACATCACGGAATTTGATAAAAAATAAAAGTTGAACTTCTAGCTTGTTTTTTCTGCCTTTTTCATGCTAATATAACGAGGAAAACGATTTTTGGTAAAAAAGCAATTTTTTAAGTTGACAAGAAATCGGGCCTGGGGGGGGTATATCTGGAAAGTTTTCAATATTATATCCAGAAATTACTAAATTTATTTAATTTTCTTGTTTTTAGATCATAATGACCGCAGCAAACGTTCCTGTTATTGGGGGTGAGATATTCTTTTAAATTTTATCTTTTAAATCCTTCATGGTTGAAAGATTATTATGCATAATTTGAAAAATTATGGCTCAATAATATATATAGACTAAATATAATCATTTAAATTCTTCAATCATTATTGATTAATTAATATTGATATTTTTTGATTCTGTAGTAAGGATAACTTTTTTTTGATAAATGAGGTAGCTTTAAAAACTTTCCTTTATTAATGGCTCACTAAGTCAATTTACCTGTTGAGACATTCAAATCAAGGGAAAGAATGTATTGCAGATCATATTGGACGGTTGAACCAGAAAAAAAGATTTTTTAATTGTAAATCCGTAAATTTGTTCATAAAATATTACTAAGACAGAAAAAATTTGAAAGAGAATCTTCGGTCAGGTATTTCATTTGAATATACGGTTAAAGGGACTGTAAAGGAAAAATGAAAGGGGGTATAGGCTGAAGGCTTAATCACTTTAGCTCTTGATCGCGACCCATGAAAGTTTTATCTGATGTTCCTGTCTCGAGAAACTGATATAAAACTGTATTAAAATTATTCGAAAATTCATATATGTAAAATTTAGAATATCTTAAACTTAAATCACGTGACCAGAACTATCACCAATGTCAGAGCAGTATACTGGTCACGTGTCTCCGCCTGTATCACGTGACCACTTTACTGTACTGCCATTGGTGGAATTTCTGGTCAAGTAATACGGACGTGTAAATAATATTATGAATTAAATCTATTAAAAATATAAATTATAATTGGAGTAAACCTAAGTTACAATTAGCTTTCTTTGGGATATCATCGTTTTCAGATTGGTTACATATTTGCTGAATTTGATCTATTTAAACCCAATACTTTTTACAAAATTGTAAATATATTAATTTTCGTATAAATTTGTTGTATAAAGTTGTATAATTTCTCGAGATAGGAACATCAGATATAACTTTCATGGGTCGCGATCGAGAGCTAAAGTGATTCAGCCTATACCCCCTTTCATTTTTCCTTTACAGTCCCTTTAAGAAAGTATTTGTCTAGGATACCACTCAGAGGATCAAAGCATTGAGACCCTTCGGTCCGAAGCGGACAAAATCGGTTTCCCAGTCATGATCAAGGAACTAGATTCTTATTTATGTATTTAAAAGTCGTTTTTTCCTCTTCTTAAACCACTAAGTGATCTTGTTTTGCCACTCCTTCATTTTGTTTTACTTTTACCACTCGTCTATCTTGAATTAGCGTCAATTGCTCCCGTATCCCGGCAATTGTTACATTAATAACTGGTAAAAGGCTGTGCGAGGAGGTGGGGGGAAAGGAATGAGAATTGCGATGACTGCAGATGTGTTTGACGCCCAACTGGAGTCTGCCAAGGTAATTTTCAGGGGGCGGAAACGTGATGTGTGTGTGTCTGTAGCAAAAGAGAATGTGTAAAGTGTATCTAGTCAGAGTTCAGAACTTCTAAATATGATGAAGTGATTAATCCGTAACACACAGCTGTCTCGTGTGGGTCTGTTCTCTCTTAATTGTAACTTTTGATTGGTCGAACTTTGATTCTTTTAAAAGAAATTAACTTAATCCGTCGACCTACAACTAGAGTCTGAATTATTGCACTTTTATTGGATTAAGGATACAAAAGTTCCAATTGCTAAAAAAACTTTTCAAATGGATATTGAAAGAGTGCAATATCGTGAGGATTCATATTCCATATTCAGATTTTTTTTCAATTTAATAGATGTTTCTTAAAGGTTTGTTTGAAAGCAAATTTAAAAGTGCTTGCAAAACGCTTTTTAAGTTTGGTGTAATTATGCGTTGTTTTCAAAATTCCTTATTTGATTATTTTAATAATTATTGTAATTTCTTTAATAATTATTTGATCAATTATTTTAGAGGGAAGCGATGAAATCCTTCGGCGATGAAGTGATGCTACTTGAGAAATTTGTTGTAGATCCTAGACACGTGGAGGTAAATTATCCATAGGAAGAATTTAAAGAATTTGAGCCGCGGCTCAACTTTGGTTGGTTTCACTTAAATTGTATTCAATTTTTCAAAATTTAAGCCGGCGCTCAATTGAAACCGGTTTTTGGGGGATTTTAGACGCGGCTTAAATTCATTAAATTCGGACTCACGGTTCTCCACGCCCATTCAACACAGTCTTTTTATGTTTGATCCCTCATTATACTTTTTGATGATTTTTACCATATCTTCGTTCTTATTGTTATTTTTAGGTCATTTATTAAAGGCATTATAATTTTTAAAAATACTTTATTTCATTTTTAAAATGTATTTCTTTATTTCTTGAAATAAAAGGTTATTAGATTAAAACTTCAATCAAAGTAAATCGTAAACAATTTATATGCCAGGGAAATATATTTTAAAGCTTTAAAGGAAAAATGAAAAATTTTACATGACATGGCAAGATTCCACCCCCCCCCCCTTAAAACTTTTAACCCAAAAATATGTTCTTTCCCCCCGAAAAATTTGCTAATATACCCCAGAAAATTTGCTATGAAGAAAGTGGATGATTTTAAAAGAAAATATAGATTATAGAATGTTAAAATTTAAAGGTTCAAGTGTTCGGTGACCAGCACGGAAACTATGTATATCTGTTTGAACGTGACTGCTCTGTCCAGCGGAGGCATCAGAAGATTATTGAAGAGGCTCCAGGACCAGGCATATCCTGGGAGGTTCGGAGAAAACTAGGTAATAGACAGGACCTGACATAAAAGTTACAAAATGAGTATTTTCACGCCACGGGAAAATGAACCAATAAATGTAGTGTTGAATATTGAGGGGTCGATTTATAAGCTCTGACGAAATGAGTTTTGTCTATTTAAACGTTGATCAGTTCATTAATAATCCTAATCAATCAATGAAGAGTAGAAATTCTAAAAAACGCTTAAATATGAGAGTACAGCTTGAATATGAGAGTACAGTTACAAGTCTGTTTTATTCACTTTAAAGGCTCGAAAATCTCAATCAGACTCGACTTGTGAATAAATTGATTATTTGTAGGAGGAACAATTGAGTTTATTGAACTGTTATCTGGGTGAAGCTGCTGTAAGAGCAGCTAAAGCTGTGGATTATGTTGGAGCAGGAACAGTTGAGTTTATTGAACTATTATCTAGGTGAAGCTGCTGTAAGAGCAGCTAAAGCTGTCAATTATGTTGGAGCTGGAACAGTTGAGTTTATTATGGATAAAGATTTCAACTTCTACTTCATGGAGATGAATACAAGACTACAGGTTGAACACCCAGTTACTGAGATGATCACAGGTATAATGAATTGATGTATAAGTAACCTAACACACTTCTTAAAATTTGATAATCTTATTCCCCCCCCCCCAAAAAAAAAGAGGTTTTGCAGAAAATTTGGGTACAAAAAAATTGACTTAAATTGTCAAGGGTTTCTCCTATTTTCCCATTAAATGCACAGGTTTCAAGTGACCCTTTATTTTAATAGTTGCATTTCCGAACCATAACGATACCATTGCAACTCTTGTTATGCCCCTTATACATATACCCCTTGAATTGATATATTCAACTTGTGTTTATATGTTTAATATTGCAAGGAACGGATCTGGTTGAATGGCAGCTAAAAGCTGCTGCTGGAGAAAAGCTTCCCGTCACTCAGGAGCAGCTCAACCTAAACGGTTGGAGCTTCGAGGTAATTCACAGCTTGGAAACCATTTATAGGGAGAAGCAGTTTAATTATATACGATTAGTTCAAGTGCTCACAAAGCGCATAGCAGAAGTGGTTCAACTCGTTATTCCTATTCTTCAACTTCTAGTCTCAATCTGCTATTCATCAAGTCCATCTTTTACTAAGTTTCTGATTTTATTTTATTTCTAAATTAAAGACTGCCAATAATGACTATCTCAAAATCATTTTCTTAATCTTTTTAATAGTATACTACTCTTCAAACATTTTAAGAGGTTAATTTTCAGCTTTCAATGAATTGTCATATTTCGTTGACCATAACTTATTTTGCGAAGGGTATTAAAGAGATAGGAAAGTTTTTAAAATAAGAAAATATTTCAAAATGGGGGGGGGTGATTTTTCAAGAAAATATACACCCTTGAACGTGTGCTCTGTAACCCTAACATTGAATATATATCCTAATTGAGTTTTATTCAGGCAAGAATCTATGCCGAGGATCCCAACAATAGTTTCATGCCTGGTGCTGGACCTCTTCACTATCTAGGTATATTCCTCTATATATATAAAGTTGTCTGTTTGTTTTTCCGATCATAACTCGGGAACCCATTAAACGATTGAGCTCAACTTTTGATCGGAGAACTCGGGAGAACCACGGGAATGTTCCTAGCGTAGTTTTGAAAATCAGAGTTGAGTGGATCGACTTCTATAGGGAAAAATAGCTAAAAACGTAATTTAAGACCAAAAGCGGTTAAACGACGGGAGTTACAGTTACTTTGAATACACTGGACATGACTGGATTCCCAAGCTAGTAATATATTTCGGACCAAGTACAGTATTATATCCATGTTCAATTTAAATTATAATGTATCAGAAAATTTTTCTTGTCATTTTTTTTAATGTTCGTGGTCTTAATCTTGACTGTCAAAATGTAGCACATTCGTTCTTAATCTAGTTGTTTTAGTCTTATGAGTGTGACCTATCGACTGTATATGTTCGTATATGTGTGTTTATGGTTGTTATGTTTAAGGAACCCCAGCCCCAGATACTCATGTTAGAATAGAAACTGGAGTCAGACAAAACGACGAGGTTAATATTTATTTTTATCTTATAAATGTTTGCGATTCAATTGTCCCAGAAACTAATTCTCGAACGGCACATTTCCGTATTGCAATTTAACGTTCTAATAAATATTTTAGTTTTGGAAAAGTATCTATTCGGAAAAGTATCTATTTGGTAAAGTATCTATTTGGAAAAGTATCTATTTGGAAAAGTATCTATTTGGAAAAGTATTTATTTGGAAAAGTATCTATTTGGAAAAGTATCTATTTGGAAAAGTATCTNCCCCCCCCCCCACACGCATTTTTTTTAATACAAAATGAGCCACCTTTAATGAATTTTGTATCCGTCAGGTATCTGTTCACTACGACCCAATGATAGCTAAGCTAGTTGTGTGGGGTCCAGACCGGAACTCAGCTCTACTCAAGCTACGTGCCTGCCTTGCAGAATTTAATATATCCGGTTTATCCACCAATATTAACTTCCTCATGGACCTAGCCTCACATCCAGGGGTGTACATCTCTTTCAAGCATGAAATTCTTTTAATTTTTTGAACTGAATATCTTTTTTAAAACTACTGAGCAGGAGTGTATTTTTTTTCAGAATTACCCGCTCCTGGGGGGGGGGGGAAATTTTGATGATTTGGGTTAAAAAAATGAAAAATTGGATATTAAAAGGCAAGTTTTTTCATACTTTCTGATAATCTTAACCCCAATTTATTTTCTTGATTCAACTAGAATAAAAGCAAAAAAAATTGGCGCTCCGCTCATGCATTTCAAAATTCTGGAAAAAAAAGATTTTCAAAAGGGGAAATGTTTCTTCCTCTCTGTTCTTTCTTAATTTTCCTTTCCTTTCAAATGGTCGAAAAGATGCTTTCTGGGATTCTTAATTAATGAATAGCGAAAAGTTGTTGAAATAGCCAAAAAGAGTGGTTCAACTTTGTCTACATAGTTCAACTAATTGTATTCTACCGAAATTTGAACATTAGAGTATATTGTTGAAAATGTTGAAACTGAATTTCCAAAATGTTTTTTTCTTTTTAATGACTTCAAACAAGTAGTTGAATTGCTTTGTCACTTCTCTTGTGCACTGGTTCAAGTTCAAGAGAAGTGGTTTAACTAAGTCTACGTAGTGCAACTAATTCTACCAAAGTTTGAACATATTACACCTGTGTATAGAGTTTATTGCTGGAAATGTTGATACTGAATTTATCCCTCGGCATTATGATCAACTCTTCAAAGATAGAATTCCTTCACATTCAACACTTTGTGAAGCTGTTATGGCTCTAGGAAAATAAATCAATAAATAATCTGGGATAGAATTTATCTAATTGGAGAGGTCGCTAAACTACCTACCGCTGGTTCAAATCCTCGTGAATCTTTAAATTTAAATCGGTGATTCAGGATTTGAACCGGGGTTATGTAGTTCAGATCTCTCTCTCAAAGTATTAAATTCCGATTCTGAACGTAGAAATAGTAAGAAACGGAAAGAAATGTTTTTAAAACATATCTTCATTTCTTTTAGTTTAATCTTGAATTCCTAAGTTTCAATCAAGGTTTCAGTTAAAGCTTTGAATGTTTTATTTTTTTTTCGAAGTTGTTAGTTCGGAGAGTTAATGCCATAGAGAATAGAATATATAGAGAGGAATTTACTAGAAAAAAGTGTAAAACGGCCATTTTGTTGTACTGTTTCCATACTGCAGGTGTACTTCACATGTTTATGCTATATAACCTTTTGGGCCCTGGAATATCATTTTATAGAAAATCTAAAATTATTTGACCAATTATCATTTCATATAGACTCTATGCCTTTCGCTTTACAAACGAAGATTTTCCGTTATAGCTATAAATCAAATGATGTTTTTTATTCACCTAATTCATTATGAAGTTTATTTAACAGTTTAAAAAATTCGAAATTGAAATGGATAGTCTAGGGAACATACTGTATTAATGTACTCTACTGCATATAGTTTGTAAACATTTACATGATTTGTACACTTTGAACTCCCTTACTGGCTGAAAGGGACTGAAAAAATTCATACCGAGAGATTCATTTAATTCCTCTCTATATATTCTATTCTCTATGGTTAATGCATTTTAAACTCGGCCATTCTATGTTATTTGAAATCAAAAAGTTTCAAATTTGATAAGTTACGGTTTACAATTCATCCATTTTTAAAGCTTTATTTTAAATTCTACAGAAGTTGCCGGCGTTATTGACAATTTAACTAATGTTGAAAGAAATCTGAAGAAAATATCCTTAATTGGTTTTACTTGATTTAATGGTTTTTCCAGTTTTATCTGAGAATGTGAAAAATATTGCTCAGCAAGATCCGTTTCTCAGCCAGTGCGGAGCTCGGTAAATTCTCAATTACGGGAGATCTGGGATATGTATATATGTATTTTTGTAAATCAAGTTCTCCTCAACTACAAAATTAGAGAGGGGGGGGGGGGCAAATAGAACAAATATAGTCTAGGGCAGGGGTTCATCTATAGATTTATACGAGTTGAACTGATTATATCTATATTCTAGGTTGAAGCACTTTCTTTTGAGACGAGTTGAGCTGATTATATCTATATTCTAGGTTGAACCACTACCTCCTAATACGAGTTGAACTGACTATATCTATATTCTAGGTTAAACCACTACCTCATGAGACGAGTTGAACTGATAATATCTATATTCTAGGTTGAACCACTATCTCCTAAGACGAGTTGAACTTATTATATCTATATTCTAGGTTGAACCACTATCTCCTAAGACGAGTTGAACTGATTATATCTATATTCTAGGTTGAACCACTACCTTCTAAGACGTGTTGAACTGATGTACAAGGATAAACCCTACACTGCCTCTGTTATAAGCTTGGGCGGAAACAAGTTCACCGTATCTGTTGGTAATTTTTGCTTCCATGTAGTAAAGCTTTGGAGTCATCCTTTGGTTTTAAGGTACTGTCAGCGTAATTTCAAACGTAATCGGATTGATTAAGATAATTCCTTGTCTCTGCACGACATGTCGTACATCAAGCACTAAACTCTTGAATTTAAGTTTCCAACGTTGATATTGAGATCAAGCGTTGTAGTTAAGCACTATATTACAAAAGAAAGTTTTAACCCACTTTTATCTAGATGGTGTTGACTACCACGTGACCGGAAAGTTGGTTCCCCGACCTGATACTAACCATACAGAGCTTGTCTGTGACATTCAGGCACAAAAATGAGAAATGAAAAAGGCACAAAAATGCTTTATAGACATTTATATGCCATGAGATGAAGAGAAATATAATTACGTGAACCACAAATACTAAACAGATATTTATTTTAACTATTCGAACCTTTGTTGAACATATCAAGAATTTTACCTCCTAGATACTACACAGATTACAAGATTACACTGAATCAAGGGACGAATATGTTGGATCAATTCCACATGAATAATCGTCCTGTCAACTTTTTTCAGCATGTCACACCTCACGCTGTGTAGCATCTTGGAAGAAAAAAATTGGAAACCATAGTGTTGATGAAATATTGACATATTTTTATTTCTAAATTGATAATTTTCTCTAATGTTAGATATTACGCGTGTTGTCGTGTGGTTGAGCCAGTAAACGTTCACATGACCTCATTTTAGAACCTTTTAAGACAGAATGATGGTTGATAGCTTGTTTGTTTGATTGGTCTCCTTATTTACAATGTTCTATTAAAGGCTTGTAGTACAAATCTTGTAATAACGTTTAATTCTGTCCCTAATATAATGATAATAATTGATAAAAGAAAGTAGATGCGCTTAACAATGTAAACATGTTATCAAGAAAAATTTCTCATTGTGAACATTTTCCAGGGGAATATTAGTAAACAAAGAGTTCTTGTAAACCCAGCAGGGGTCACACTGTTCACAAGGTAGGTTAAATCATGTGATAAATGGAAATACAAAGTTTTGGACCCATTTTATACTTAATTTGCTAAAGAGTGATGTAATGATCGAGTTGCTGATAGATTTATTTATCGATAGTTTGTTTATTGATTTTAATGACAATTTGTTTTTTTTATTGATTAATTAATTTGGTCGGTTAATAACATTTGTTTAATAGATCAATTGATCTATTTAGTTGATTGATTGAGTGATTAATAGACTGAGTGATTGAATAATTGATCGATTAATTGCTGATTGCTGATTGTTTGATTGATTGTTTGATTGATTGATTTTTTGCCTGATTGTCTGATTGTCTGATCGACTGATTGTCTGATCGAATGATTGATTGATTAATTAATTGATTGATTGATTGATTGATTGATTGATTGATTGACGACTGACTTGACTGACCTGGCTGACCTGGCTGACCGTATAGGGATGGAAGTTATGAGTTTGGTCTCCCTGTTCCTAAATACCAGACTGCCAACCTCTCAGTAGGAGGACTAGGAGACGCTGTAGCGCCAATGCCGGGAGTTATTGAAAAGGTAAAATTAAATGGAATGTTGGCGACCAATCTCTGTAAAGGGGTTCCTTACGTTGTTTGGAATTTGGTGAATGTTCATGTAATTTTAAATTGAATTTTTGGTCTAGAGATATATTTTATAATCGATTGATTCAGTATGGATAATCTTAATCTTATTGATTGGTAAATATTTAAATAAGTGATCGAAAAATGTGGCATTTATTAAATGATTGATTGCTTGATCAGGTGATGGTTGAGGCTGGAAGTGCTGTAAAGGCCGGAGATCCTCTTCTCGTAATGATCGCCATGAAAATGGAATATATTATCAAGGTGAACCAACTGTTTAGGACAACCTACTCAATTGGGGATAAATTTTTCATTTAAATCTTCTTAATTAAACCTTAAAAATATCAAAAAGCAATTGCTAAAGGCAGGGGGTCATTTCACTTCATAAATATTATTTAAGCTCTCCAAAAAAGCATTGACAAAATATTTTAAAATAAAATTAATGTAAAAAACTGGATTTTATGAGATGGGGTTTAAAAAAATACCCCTGATGAGAAGAATGGGGGGGAGGGGATTTATCCCGAACGAGGATAGAGCAAATGGGAATATTTCTCATACCAGGATGAGAAGAATGGGGGGGAGGGGATTTATCCCGAACGAGGATAGAGCAAATGGGAATATTTCTCATACCAGGATGAGGAGGGTGGTGGGGAATATTTTAAGGACACCATATTATGTTGATTATCCTAGGCACCTAAGTCCGGAGTCATCAGTCGAGTAAACAACAAGGTCGGAGACTTTGTCGCCAAGAACAAGGTTCTCGTCGCCTTCCTGGACGAGGAGTAGATTGTCGTCTTCGTGTCGCAGCATATTGGGTTCATGTCGCAGACTCTTGGATTCAAATCAAAAGAGAGAATAGTTCAAAATTAGATTTACGTATAAGAAAATAGTTAAAGTATTTGTTAGATTTGATTATTCTTAGACGCTAGGTGACTAAAAAAAAATTCTTCCGCTCATTAAACTTCCAATTATAAAATGAATTCTCAGCGAATATTTTAAGTGACCCTCTATAATTACTCTATAGCTGAACGGTCAATTGAATATAGGACTTCAGTCAGTATACCCAGCAAATTCTGATAAATACTGCTGACCATAACGTTTTCTCTAGTCACCCTGTTGGATATTATTATTTATGTTATGGTGCTGTTTTTGTTATTATCTATCTATATCATATAATTGTTATATTTTAGATTTATGAAATTAATTTATTTCAGAAGAAAAAAGATTAGAATAGAGCTTTATTGTAGCTGGTCAAAACAGACTAAACTGGAGAAAAGTGTTAGGTTTGTTTAATAAACTGGAATCTATCAATTAAAATAAATCAGAATATTTTTAAAATTTTAGTTTTTTAATTTCCTTTTTTTTGAAGTCAAAATTTTAAGTCTTCGCCTTTTTTAGTTTTTTTCCCTGCGACTTATTTCAATAGTTTACTATTTCTTTGGCCTTTCAACCTTTTACTTATTTTGTTTCTTTCCGGAGCTGTCTGTTAATATTTAGCAGTTTCCGGAGCTGTCTGTTAATATTTAGCAGTTTCCGGAGCTGTCTGTTAAAATTTAGCAGTTTCCGGAGCTTCCTTTCAAATTTAATGTTTCTGGAGCTGCCTGACAATTGTTTCCAGCTCCATGTTGATTCTATCGTTTCCGGTTTCTTCATTCACCTTAATAGCTATGCAGTGCTTTTCGGCTTTCTGGATCCGGATCCACATAAATATGTTGATCCACGGGGCAAAACATCATCTGAAAAACCGATAATATTTAAATGGAAACACTATCGTTTTTTTCCCGGCGTCATACATTTTTTTCAGGCTCTCCCTTTAAATGAAAAGGAAATCAAGAATTTTATTAGTGTCTCCATATTTAATTTAAACTATCTCTGATTGATCACAGATTGTTGAGAGTACTGGGACAGAGATTAAATGTAAGAATGTCAACTGGGTCTCCTGGTGTACTAGGTAAACAGAGAGAGATAGAGGGGGGGGTGTCCTCCTTCAAACTCTCATGTTTTTAAAAATTCCTATCCCCGGGAAAGCGTAGCATTCAGTTTTATTTTTAGTTTTTTTATTTGTTTAGTATCATCATCATATTTTTTCTTAATTCAGCGTCTGTAAGGGGGAATCATTATTTGCTGGTAACGGGAGGGGAAGGGGGGAGGAATGTTGGTACATGACAATTTGACAATAGAACGTATGTTATTTATTAATTTATTTTCAAATTTCTGTTTTGTTTTAGTACAACGAATCAACTACGCTTCTGGAAAAAACGAATGGAAAATGATGCCTGAAGATTATGATTACACTCAGGTTAGATAAAAAGGACTGTGATTTTAATTTAAAGTGATTTTCAATTTTGCAGGGGCATGCCTGATTCACAATGGTATCCTTAAACCTTAAACATGATATACGTATTCATTTTGTTTAATGAAATGTGTTTAATTCTGATAATTTCTTCATTGTTTCTAATGCAAGAAATGTGCAAGTAACTGTGTACTGTGTAGTCAACCAAAAGGTTTAAATTATCAGTTTCCAAAGCAACAGCATTAATATGCTGTGCCTTTCGGTGAATAATCAAAATTATTCCACGGTTTTTCTTCCAATATTAAGACATTAATTTTAATCATTACACTTGCCTCATACTAAAAGAATAATATCATACTAGCAGAAATTCCCGGCTTGGCCCGTGTATTTTGTTTTAGAAATCGAGTTTTGAACAAAAAATAGAAAAAAAAATTCCATTTTCGAATAAACAAATTCGATATTTTAGCTTATGTTCCTTTGAGTTCCCTCAAAAAATTTCTGCCAATTTGTTCCAGCCGTTTTGCCAGCTTTAGCTAACATAAAAATAAATATATAGATGAGCGAAGAGCTTTATTATACAGAAGATATACCTCTCGTCTCTCTTGATTTAAAAATGTGTTTAGGAGTTGGCACGTGCTGCCTTTGCTGACATGCTGCACGACGAAGAGAGGAATAGATTGTACAGGTAAATCATGTTTCCCGTTGTATTTTAAGTTAGTTCAAAGCTCTGAAAAAATCGACCTCCAGTCAGAACCGAGTTTGTTTGGATCCGGCCAATTTTTAAAAGTTTGAACAAAGAAGTCTTGGATCCGGCAAATTGGTAAGATCTGTGGCATATTTTTTTTGGTCTAACGTACAGGGTTACCCACGCAGGATGAGACTGTAAGGACGACTCAAAACTTAATTTTATTTTATGATTCCAAGGTTTACTTGTACCTGCCTTGAAAAAAGTTGTTGAATGCCTTATTCACTGTCAAAGAACTGAACACTAAAACAGGTTTACAGTTGGAGGAAATCATGAATATAAGATAACAGATAGTATAAAATATGTCTCTAAAGTCTCATTCTGTGTGGGTAACCCTGTTTGTTGTTTAGGGAGGGTTTGGTGGCTGCTATAAGAAAAATCAAGGAGAGAGGAGATACGGTCAGAGTACTGGATATCGGAACAGGTAATAAGAGGGATATTTATATTATATTGAAAATCATTCCATTGAAAATTTTCTAGCGTTAAATAAGGGGGAATTAGTGTTTGGATTAAACGTCTTGTAAGGGGAAGATCTTCGAAGGGGATTGGTTAATTGAATGATTAATTGAGTTATGATTGATTGATTTATATGTTTAGGAACTGGTCTGTTGTCTATGATGGCAGCTGTCGAAGGGGTGGATTCTATTGTTGCGTGCGAAGAATTTAGGTTTGTTTTGATTTTGAATTATTGTTCTAAACTTCAATGGAGGTCGAAATTAAGGAAATAGCGAGGTATAGTAGTCTTAACTAACTAAACCCAGTTCAACTCTATCCAGCTATTTATTGAATCCGACCTCGGCAACCCCTAACTTATCAAGGAAACGTTCAACACCGACCCTTAATCACTGATCTTTTAATCTTGGGATCTTTGGACCTTTGGAATGAGTATGGCATCAAGCCAATACTTTTTAGACTTTTTAAACTTACAAAAGTAAAACATATATGAAGCTTTTAGACATTCAATAATGTTGGTTTAGGTCATGAATGAAATTAAAAATCAAATATCATATTTCCTGTGTTTAGACCAATGGCGGAGTGTGCAGCACGAGTAGTGGAGGAAAATGGGTTTAAGGATCATATTAAAATTATCAGGTAGAAATTATAAGGGGACTTTTAGGAATAGTTTCTTTAGAAACTACTAGAAAACTTGCTTAGGGTAGTAATTATAGGTTTCAAAGATTTCAAAGAAAAACGTACTTTGTGTAGGAATTAAAGGGTTCAAGGAATAGTTTCTTTAAAAACTACTGACTTTGTGTAGGAATTAAAAGGGGGCCTTTAGGAATAGTTTCTTTAGATTACTACTGGAAATCATGGTAAACTTGCTTTGTGTAGGAATTATAAGGGACCTTTAGGAATAGTTACCTTAGACCGGTGACGGGTGACATGGCTCAAATTTGGTCGTGTGTCCGACGTTAGGTTTAAACTATGTCAGGCTGAAAAGCCTTCACCTATAGGGGATTGTGATGGCATACCCCTTGTAGGTCAAGGAGCTGTTGGACGCTTCCCTAGCTGTATGATATGATATGATACTACTGGGAATCCTGGTAAACATTCTTTGTGTAGGAATTATAAGGGGAGCTTTAGGAAAAATTTCTTTAGATACTACTGGCAATCCTTGTAAACTTGCTTTGTGTAGGAATTATAAGGGGAGCTTTAGGAAAAGTTTCTTTAGATACTACTGGCAATCCTTGTAAACATTCTTTGTGTAGGAATTATTAGGGGACCTTTAGGAATAGGTTCTTTAGATACTACTGGCAATCCTTGTAAACTTGCTTTGTGTAGGAATTATAAGGGGACCTCTAGGAATAGTTACCTTAGATACTACTGGGAATCATGGTAAACTTGCTTTGTGTAGGAATTATAAGGGGACCTTTAGGAATAGTTTTTAGAGACTACTGGCAATCCTGGTAAACTTGCTTTGGATAGGATTATAAGGGGACCTTTAGGATTAGTTTTTAGAGACTACTGGCAATCCTGGTAAAGTTTCTTTAGGTAGGAATTATAAGGGGACCTTTAGGATTAGTTTTTAGAGACTACTGGCAATCCTGGTAAAGTTTCTTTAGGTAGGAATTATAAGGGGACCTTTAGGATTAGTTTTTAGAGACTACTGGCAATCCTGGTAAAGTTTCTTTAGGTAGGAATTATAAGGGGACCTGAAGGAATAGTTTCTTACTACTGACAAACTTGTTTTAAGTAGAAAGTATTTCCTACTGGTTGAGTGAACAAGCTTTTTTATGTATTTTCCATAGAATTTCCTAATGATTAAATTTTTCTTTAGGAAATTGGAAAAAATGTCAATGGGCAACATAAACAATATTAACCATCTAGTGAAGCTAAATAATAATGTCAATGGGCAACATAAACAATATTAACTATTAAATAAAAATGTCAATGAGCATTATAAACAATATTTACCACCTAATGCAGCTATATAAAAATGTCAATGGGCAACATAAACAATATTAACCATCTAGTGCAGCTATATAAAAATGTCAATGGGCAACATAAACAATATTTACCATCTAGTGCAGCTAGATAAAAATGCGTAGAAACATTGAAATCCTGGATAGTCTTTCTTTTAAAAACGGATGAAGTCATAAGTATCTGGATCCGGATCTAAAATTAAAATGTTATGGATCCTATGCACTGTAAAAACAAAACAAAAATGCACTGCTAAGGATTCATTTAATTTCTGTGTATCTACGCCCTTTTTAGTTAATTTTCTTTCAATTTATTCAACTTTTTTGTTTAGGAAACGGTCTACTGAGTTAACCGTTGGTCCAGGTTGTGATTTAGAGGAACGGGCCAATATTCTTGTTACTGAGGTTAGACTAATAGACATGCATAAGGTTTAAACAACCCTGCGGTAGCGGTTGAACGAGTGGTTGATAAAAAGTTAAAATTATGATTTTTTCATAAATTTTATGTCTAACCATATTTAAATTTTTTTTTCTTTTAACCGCTTAAAATGCAAATTTTTTGTTAAACTTATTTTACCTTTCATCGTAAAAATTGCAAGCTTTTATTTTACATTTTTGTCTTTAACTACTGAACACCTACATTTTCATAGCAAATAAATTTTGTAAAATCATGAAACCCAGCGGTTGAGGCAAAAATATTGACCTGTTAAGAATATGTTTTCAGAGGTTGGATAAATTAGAGAAAGAAAAAAGTAGCACTTCTTATTCCGAACTACTTCTATAGAATTATTAATTTCTTTCAGATTATATAATGACAATCCTATCAGAGTATATATTGACGATCCTTTTAGAGCATATATTGACGATCCTTTTAGAATATATATTGACGATCCTAATAGAGCATATATTAACGATTCTTTCAGAGCATATATTGACGATTTTTTCAGTGTATATATTCACGATCCTAGTAGAGCATATATTGACGATACTTTCAGAGCATATGTTGACGATCCTTTCAGTGTATATATTGACGATACTTTCAGAGCATATATTGACGATACTTTCAGAGCATATATTGACGATCCTTTCAGATTTTTCTTTTATAGGTTTTCGACACAGAACTAATTGGCGAGGGAGCAATAGGAACTTATAATCATGCTAATCAAGAACTTCTCTCTCAGGTATATATTTATCAATGAATCATTTTTTTAACATTTTTTATATTTTTCCCTGAATGCTTCAACAACGGTCAAAATTTTGGTAAAAATGTGCTACAATTTTTGCCACCTCTCGAGGAATGATTGGGGAGGGTTTTTTTCTGTCTCCTCAAGTTTTTAACTTGTTTAAAGTTAATATTTTTAATGTCTGTCTAACCGAATCAAAAAATTGTATGTTTTTTAAGATAGAAAGGGGGGTGACTCTTATGCAATTATTATAAATTTGAATGATGCAAAAAAGGATTTCAAAACGATATTTGCAGTTCAATAACTTCATCTAAATTATCACAGGCTTCACAGCGGTGTAATCAGTAGTCTAAATCCAGATTTTACTGAATATTTTTTGCCAATTTTTCATAAATTATAACCTAAAAGTTCTTTTCTTTGTTCAAACTTACCACTGTTTCGGTCAACTCATTTAATAATGATAAAATATGTATCTAGGATAGAATAGTAGTGCCGGGAATAGCAAGAATGTTTGCTCAGGTTGGTTCAAGTCCGGGGATGCTAATAGTGACCCAGTGGGGGGGGGNCGAAAAGGCCTGCAGCAGGGAGTTCGCCCTACCATATGATTATA